ATTTCAAGGACAACTTGTTTTTTGTTGAGAAAGTTGGAACAGAGGCATGTTCTGGTAATACATTATGTTAATAAACTGCAGTATGAAATTGGAAGAGGTAAAATAATGGCTAAAATAGTTCTACCAAGGCCCACACACTGACATGGGGCACCTTTCTGCTCTTTGGGTTTGAAGTCTTGTGGAAATATTTCCTTCCTAAGTCACCTTTGGGGCTGCAGTTATTCTGCGCTTGTTTAGGTTGAATAAAGCAGTCTTAGTGCTGAGTGATGAAACAATTTCTGTTGAGGATCATTTAAACAAAATAATAGAGAAAAAAATTGAGAGAACTGGAGTGAGTTCTGAAGAAGCCATGGAGATGCTCCAAGGGCTGGAGCCCCTCTGCTCTGGAGCCAGGCTGGGAGAGCTGAGGGTGCTCACCTGGGGAAGAGAAGGCTCCAGGGACACCTCAGAGCCCCTTCCAGTGCCTAAAGGGGCTCCAGGAGAGCTGGAGAGGGACTGGGGACAAGGGATGGAGGCACAGGACACAGGGAATGGCTTCCCACTGGGAAAGGGGAGATTTGGGTAGGAGATTGGGAAGGAATTTCTGTGAGGGTGGTGATGCCCCAGCACTGGGTGCCCAGAGCAGCTGTGGCTGCCCCTGCATCCCTGGAAGTGTCCAAGGCCAGGTTGGATTTTGGGACTTGGAGCAACCTGGGATGGTGGAAGGTGTCCCTGCCTGTGGCAGGGGTGGCATTGGATGGGCTTTAAGATCCCTTCCCACACAAACCATTCTGGGATACTCCTAAAAATGGAGCGTCTTTCATGTAACATTACTGAGGACAATTTCCTAAGGGCCACTGCTATTGGTGTTGCTCTTTAGCTTAAGGAACTTATTTTTTCCTCCTTGCTAATTTACCCAGGTGTATTTCCAGAGAGCTTCCATTTTCCTTGACTAAATAAGTTCCAACTTCTATCATCTTTATAGAACAGACTCTCCATCCTCCTGATGATAGCAATAACTTTTCTCTGCACCTGGCTCAGTCCAAAGGTGTTTTTTCATGTCCCCAGGAATTTCCATCGTCTCTGGCTGGTTCCTGCTTGTACAACACAGTACTTGAGCTTAGGGTTTTTGAAACCATATTGCTGCTTATTGATAATGTTTTTTGAGGGGAAAAAAGAGGCATTCCCATATATTTACAACATGCCTTGTAACATTGTCTTCAAGGTTTTTCATTAAAATTATTGTCTCTGAGTTGGAAATTTGTGTCAGACTGCACTTTTAGATTTATCTGTTCAGTGTGTGGTAATGGATGTGGAACTGAATCTTTGCCTTTGTTACGTTTGTTCCTGCAGAAGAGAAGGGTGAGATGACAATGTCTGAAAAAAGAGATTTGGGTAGTGCTGGCATGGTGAAATTATGTAAAATAATCTGTAAACTCTTATCTATGCAATGAAACATTTTTCTTCACAAATTGGTGCCATGGGGTAATCCAGAAGTTTCCCACTCCCATCCTGCTTATTTGGGTTTTTTTCCTTCCCATAGTTCTGGCTCTTGCTCTAATCTCTTCTTTTCACTGAAATTTGTCTCATGGTAAATTCTCTTGCTTTATCTGCTCACGCTGCAATAAATCCTCTGCAAATTGCTGAATTTCACTGGCCAGCCCTGACTTTTATCTGAGACTCCCGAGATCCACACTGGAACGCTGGGCATTCCTTTTAAATGCTGAAGATTCCTTTTAAATGCACTGTACAATATTTTGTTTATAATTCTGGAAATTCAGGTGTCTTTGATGGAAAACCAACTTTGGGAAAAGTTGTTAACATGAATATGTGATTTGGCTTGTAATTTTGATAATTTTTTTCTTGAATAGAAACTAGAAGTTGGCCTGATTTGGCTGAAACTTTCACTGTTACACTCAGCAGGAAGAAAAGATCATCATGGCAACAGATATGAGGGGAAAGCTCATGGAGTTTTTTTAAAAAAATCATGATTATTCTTTTTAGTGAGATGTATAAAAATTGTCCCTGCTTTGGATTTTTATTTGGATATTTGGTTTTCAGTTTTATTTTTCTCATCACTGTGGTATGTGGTATAGCAGGGCTATTCCTGAAAAAAGATTTGCAGTAGAAGTTTCTATTGTTGAGCTTCTTTGCCCTAATTAAGAGTTTGTTGAAGGGTCCTTCAGTTCCCCAAACCCTGAACCTCTAGAAAATGATAACATACATCTCTAGAAAAAAGTTAGAGTTGTTTTTGATATGGCCCTGGAATGCTTATTGTATTCAGTGAAAAAAATGAGAGCAGGGAAAAAAAAAGTAAAAGGCCATATTTCATAGAGATAATGCAAACTTTTCTTATCTTCCCACACAGTGTGCTCGTAGGAAAGTACAGTGGTATGAAAGATGTGGTTTTCCAGGTTATTTATTTGTTCTGTTAATGCCTGCAAAACAAAAAGCTTTAAAATAAAATAATAGTTAATTTAATTCTTAAAACCCAGACAAACAGAAAATTTTCAATTGCTATGTATTAAAGTAGACCATATAAAGATGAAAGAAATAGTGGGGGAGAGTTCATGCATTAATTTTATTTAGACTGCCTAAGGCACTGTGAAATGGTGAAGGGGGCACGGAGGTATTTGGTCACAATATTTGGGCTTGGTGAACTTGGAGTTCTTTTCCAACCTGAATGATTCTGTGACAGCAAACCCAGTGTGGTGGTGGATCTCTCCAGGCAGTGAGGAGGGTGAGTGGGGGGGCAGCCACACAGCAGCTCCCTGTATGTCTCAGTATCTGTTTGGGGGGAGGGATCCTGCCCCTGTGGGCAGCCCTGGAGGCAGCTCTGGAGTGCTGTGTCCAGCTCTGGCTCCTCAGCACAGCAGGGCCAGGGAGCTCCTGGAGCGGGGCCAGCGGAGGCTGTGCAGCTGAGGAAGGGCCTGGAGCATCTCGGTGCCCAGGAAAGGCTGAGGGAGCTGGGGCTGCTCAGCCTGGAGAGGAGCCCCAGCTGAGAGGGGCCCTCAGGCCTGGCTGGCCCTGGCTGCAGGGAGGGCTCCCAGCAGGGCCCAGCCTCTGCTCCGGGGGCCCAGCAATGGCACCAGAGCCACGGGCAGGGCCTGATGGCAGCAATTCCCCCTGGCCAGGAGGCACAACTTCTTCCCTGGGCAGTGCCCAGCCCTGAACACATTGGCCAGAGAGGCTGTGGGCTCTCCTGCCTGGGGCTGTGGCAGAGCTGTGTGCACACAATGCTGTGCCCTGGGAATTCCATCCTTGTCCATATGGATGAACAGGCTCAGGAAGTGCCGTGCTCTCAGTCCTTCCCCATGGTGCTGAGATGTTTGGCCTTGCAGTTGAACTCCTCAGGGTCAACACGAAGCTGCTGCTGGAGGAAAACCCAGTGTTGTAGAGGTGTCCTTTAGGGGCTTCACCTAATTGGAGATCTGTGAAATGCTTCACTGTTCTCACCTCCCTTTGTCGGCCTAGTCTGTGCTGGGGTAATTAGAGCCTCTAATGAGTGGTCCTTTGAAGTTGACAAATGTGTAATTTTTACCATAAGATGGGAAATATAATTTCCCTCAGCTTGCTCTTGTCTTTAATTTACAGATGATTTTCTGTTGGGATTTGTGTGTAAAAAAATACACCTCAAAAAACAAAATAAACCAGTAATACCTGAGTATTTATGTCCTATTTTGAGTCCAGAATGTGATTAGAAGGTACCATTTCAGACAAATGTGGTTTGGCTGGGCTGCGCATCAGAGGAGCCTCTTAAGTCTGTAAAATCGTGGGCAATCTCAGATAGTCCTGCATGGTGAATTAGGAAGGAGAATGCTTGTCTCTTTTCTCACTGAGTCAATGAGGCTCTTGGAAAATTTAAAAATAAAATCTCTTCCTAATGAACTTTTATTTCCATGTGCTTTAAAGGGGATAGTGGTTTTCTGCTGTTTAATGTGGAAAACCTGATTGATCCTAAAAGAGTCATCACATGTTGTGATCATGCTTTTATGTATTTTAAGGCTACACTTATGCATTTGCTAGCTCTGCTTGTGCTGCTTGATATCTTTGAACTTCTTTTTTGAGTAAACCAACAAACTCTTACTTATTTTCTTTCGTTATTCTGCTCTGCTTCCTTTGATGACTCTAAACCTTTGACTCCAGACTGGCAATATGAGGGTAAGATGGCAAAATATGACTTCCTGAACATTGCTCGTCTGCTTTTCATTTGTGTTCTCCTTAGAGTTATTAAAATTCCATTCACTAAGTAGACCCTTTTTGTTGCAATTAAATTCAAATTGTGTTTGTTTCTGTTGTGAAACTTTAATTATTATTTATACCTTTTAATCATGCCTTTGTTATTTCTTTGGTTTAAATTACCATCATATTCCCTGTGTCCTGACAGACACTGAGATTCCTGGTGGGATCTCTAGAGCAAGACACAAACAGATTCATTAGTGTAGCCATCCAACTGGATCATGGTGACAACAATCTTTCCCTGGAGGGTGGGCAGGCCCTGGCACAGGGTGCCCAGAGCAGCTGTGGCTGCCCCTGGATCCCTGGAAGTGTCCAAGGCAAAGTTGGATGGAGCTTGGAGCAACCTGGGATAATGGAAGGTGTCCCTGCCCATGTGAGGGGCAGGGAATGAGATGGGTTTTAGGGTCCCTTCCAACCCAAAACGTTCCAGGATTCTGTGATTTGAGGGGTATGTGTTCATGACATGTAAAGTAAGAGGAAAAAACATATAACATTTTTGGTGTTCAAGTGTTTTAAATATGGATCATACCTGACATCTTTTGTCGTCACATCCTCCCTTGCTTTACAAAGTTTCTCTGAGTAAGGGATAAGCAAACAGCTCTGATTTTGAACCTTTGTGAGTGTAACTTTACTATCATTTGTAGCTCATATTGGCATCACACTTAAGGGAATACTTGCCTTCAGCATGCCAAATATGCTGACTTTAAAAAAAAACCCTTACAACAAAACCCCTGAGATCCTACTTTTGGAACAAGAAATAACTCTTTTTTTCATCTTTATAGATTGCAAGTTGGCCAGAACAGGTCCTCCAGCCACAATAGTTCCCATTGACGAGGAGAGTCGCAACGGTGAGTGCCCCACAGTTATTTAGAACACAAATTATTTATAACCAGTCTTTAAGGCCCTTGTTGCAAATAGACTTTCTTAATTTTTCTTAAGTCAGTGGGATGGTACCAGAAGGCAAAATTCTGATCAGTATTTGATTTTGTTCAGGTAAAGCTGAAATTTTACTCTGCATCATGAAAGGTGTGTAAACAATGTGATCTTCTGAATTTCCCACCTGGTTTTTGGAAGGTTGCTTGTTGGTTTCCTCAAAGTTTAAGAACATGAATTTATGGACAATTTATTTCATTTCTGAAACGAAAGAACTTGGTTGTAGTAATGGAAATTTCAAAAGAAAATGAATGTCCCTTTTTTTCAGTATTTTAATTCTCCTGACAAATCATAGTCCTCAGATGGTTGATCTGTGGTCTAAGCATTGCATTTATGCAGAGTCTTACGATGGGGTGAAGTGCTTTACCCTGTTACAATCAGCTGTTACTGCTGAGAGTAAGTTACTGCTCTTTCTTACTTTTTATTCTGTGTGTTTAAGGTTTTGGGTTTTTTTAACCTTGCAATCTGTGCCTGTTTTTGTGCTGTGTGTGGTTATGATTTATCAGATATGGGTGCTTGAGATGGTGAATAAAGCCAGGTAATGCTGGTGGAACCTCTCTGCTGTTATTTCAGGAGGAATTCCTTGTTGGAGTTGCTCAAAGTCAGAGGGATAAATGCATTTATAGATAAAACTCCTCAATAAACAAATTGTTAACACACCTATGTGCTGAAAAGCTCTGGTACCGTGGTGGCTGTTAAAACTAGGCTCTTTTCCCTCTTCCTGGGATGATTTTCCCTGCAGTCATGAGTGTCCAGAGGAGGGCTACGATGATGGATGTGCTCTTTGAATCAGATGTGTTGGTTCTTGGCAAGTTGCTGTTGTATCCTGATGTGTTCCAGCTTTGGCTTGCTCAGTTTTGGTGGAATGACCCCCTTAGCTGAGACAGTTTGGCTGCCAGAGCTTGTCTCTTGTAGCCTTTAATCCTTCCTACTCATTAGAAATAAATCTGTACTAACAGCAAGGGGTTATAAATTAATCCAAACCAACTTTGCCGTCCAAAAAACCCTGTGAAAACCTTTAGAGAGGTTGAAGTTGTGGACTCCTCATCCCTGCAAGTGTCCAAGGCCAGGCTCAACGGGTCTTGGAGCAGCCTGATCTAGTCAGAGGTGTCTCAGTCCACAGCAAAGGAATTGGAATGAGATGGGCTTTGAGGCCCCTTCCAACCTAACTCAGTTTGTGATGTAAAAGTTAATAATGAATGCATGGTGTTCTACATTTCTAGTGACCGAACTTTATATTGGGATTTCCAAGAGATGCAGAAATAAAAATCCAACTAACTTTGTTCTAGCCTATACAAATATGTCTCTAGCTTACTTGAAGTGTGAAATCCCATCCTTACTTTAGTTCTTGCATGGCACTGTTACTTCCAAGGGTCTGTTGAAGTTGGAATGGCTTTTCTAAGGTTTTGGGATGAAGATCTCAAAACAGTGGCTGGGACTTTTCATTCCATCATTGCATGTTGTCATCGTGTTCTGGCAACACAATAAACAGAAAATCCTATTCTTTAGAAATAGATGTTTAGTTCCATTGTGCCATGGCACACTGACCTCAATCATTCTTAATTCACAGGAAGTCAGAGACCAGCAAATGTCACAGAATAAAAACATTTTCTCAAATAACTGTTACTTGTTTTCATAGTCAGGCACACAGGTACCGTGCCTGACCTTTAAAGATCTTCTTGAGATCAGCAGAGATGTTAAGATTTGACAGTTTCCCGCCATGGGATGAATATCTCTCTATACCAAGTAATTTAGGTACAATAGTAAATTACATTATAATTGTGCTCATGTGAGCAATCCTGGAAGGAGTGAATGTGACCTTTCTTAAGGAATAAATGAATTATTTTATGATTTTTCCCTGTGTTGAACTGAATTGGGTGATAGTATTTCAGATCATATTAACAGCAAAACTGAATTTTTCTGGATGATTTTTATAGGCAGAGAGTTATTTTCGCCCATGGATTTATTTGTATTTAATTACTGGATTTGAGACTTGTTTTAAAGACTGGATAGGCCTTAGTTCTAGGTCAGACTTTCTCATTGCCAGTGTACCTCAAGTTTTTGGAGGCCTACATGTGGAGCCATCTTTGCTTTTTCCTTTCAGATGAACAGCCTGAAATTCTCAAGGGCTTCGAATCTTTGGGCAGGGTTTTTGATGGAAAGTGCACTTTTGGGAAAGGACTTCTACAAGGCAAGATTTAAAGATTTAGAAATTAAATTAGAATGTTGAAGAGAAAGCAGAGGCAGGGGTAGAGGAAACAAGCAGACCAAAGTGTATTCCCCTAATGTGAGGACAAATAGGAACTGGCGTCTTAATGCTCCATCCAGAACAAAAAATTTCCAGTTAGGAATGCTTTGTGTTATTTCCCATCCTAGAAAAATCAGTCAGTGTTGATGTGGTTAGATTTTATTTTGGTGGGTTTTTTTCTCCCCATTTCCCTTATGATGGTGTGAGTGCTCTAATGAATAATGGGAGCAAATCCCAAAACCACCTGCTCTCTTCCCTCCATGGTCCTTGGGGATGTCTGACACAAGGAAGTGCAGCTTTCATGGCTGTAGATGGGTGTTATTTTTCCACCTTTTCATCTTCCTATTCTCCCAGCAGTAGCCTTTCATCAGCCTGCCTTCCTGGGGAGGCAGAGGATGTGTGATCGTGCTACAAATCCCCTCCCATAACCCCCTGTGGGGAGGGACTCATGGGAAATAGGGCACAAAAATTCAGGAAACAAAGCTGTGGGTTTTTTCCCCCCTAATTCTGTTGGACCAATTTATTTGCAGGTTTTTTATATGTAATGCAGTAAGAACAGACCTCATTGCTGAGGCACATTGATGATTTCCATGCTGGTCCAAACTGGTTTAACTTGGTTTTCAGGGACAATCGACAAGGATTGAAGAAAGTGTCCCTAGAGCCACAAAATCTGTAGCCTCCCTCCAGAGTTGGTCTTAGGTGTGCTGATAAGGATGGGGAGTGATGCCTCTGAATATTCATTACTCAATTAAATGTTCAGTGACCACCAGGGCAGGCTGGAATTGAACTAATTAGCCCTAAAGAAGGAAGAGTCCTGCTATCCCAGGCATTTTGGCTAAGGTGAGAAGTTGTTTAGTAAAATCAACTCAGAAGGTTGCTGTGGCCGAGCACAGGTATATCAAGAAATGCATTCCTTAAAAGCTGTGGCTCGATGTTCATTTCCAACTTTTTCCTCCTGTTTCAGGAAGATGAATTAATGACTTGAAGGTGCTTCAGCCTTGGAGGACTTTTCCACCTCAATGATTCCATTATATTCTTGTATTGCCTTCATGAGCATCTCACTCTTTAATTTTAAATAAAAATATTTTCTCCTATTGCTTCCTATCATTCACAAATCAGCTGTATGAAGGAAAGTCATCAGTTTTACCATTTCAAGGGATTCTGATAACAGCATTTCCCAAGTTTGCAGTGCATGTGTAAGTCTAAAAAGACACCAAACTGTGATTTTTGTCTTGATTTTTCTTATTTTTCCCATGAAGGCACTTTGAAGACTCTGTATTTTATATGTATTGTAGTGTTTCTATAATTGAAAAAATTCAAATTATTAGTTTATAGGTTGTTATCAATCCTGTGAAATGTTTCAAGGGAGAAAGTGCTTCAGTTTATTTTTAATCTAGTTCATGCCATTGTCTTTATGCCTCTCTGCCCACACATAGATTTTCCCCACATGTTTAGACAATCTTACAGCTGCCTAAAGTGTTTATGAATGATTTTGGCCAGCTTTTGATCGTCCTTTTCAAATTTGTCTTCATGAACACGGGATCTGGTTTGTCTGGCAATGGAGATGTGGTGTGGTATGCAGATCTAAGGTATTGCAGACAATAAATAAACCTTGGAATTTAATCTGGCCACTTGTAGGCAGAGGGTCTAGGGCCCATCTGCACATTCAGCTCAGGGTGCAGTCGAGGGTGATGATGTGATTTTAGTGATGAGTCTCAGCATTATTTTGCTGAATCTCTGGGTGATGATGCTGTTCTGTGGTCATTAATTCCAGGTTTAAAATACTAGATTAGCCAGCAGTACAAATCTGAGCTGGATCTGGCCCAGGCCCATAATAACATCTGCTCAAATTAGGCCTGACTCTGTGGAGTTTATTCCAGCTTTGTGTTTTTATATAGGAAGAGAGGTGATCCATTAGATCTAATAGCTACCAGATTGAGTAACTTCTGTCAGAAGCTGTTACCCTTGTGGAATGCTCTGGACGAATTCTAATGGAAGGATTGGATTTGTATTGATTCATGTGCCCCATGTGGCTGCTGCTGGGGGCTGAACACTGTACTATGTCACAGGGCTGTGCAGGTCTGCTCCATTTCCTCATCCCTGGGCTCTTTTAGGAGCCTGGAGGTTTCCCATGGATGTTGCTCTAAAAGGATAAGGACCTGGTAGTGCTGTGGGTGACAGCTGGCCATGCCCTGGCCCCCAGAAGCCCCCTGTGCCCTGGGCTGAGCCCCAGCGTGGGTAGCAGGGGAGGGGGGGATTCTGCCCCTCTGTCCCTGTGCTCAGGTGAGACCCCACCTGCAGAGCTGCCCCAGCCCTGGGGCCTAGCACAGGAGGGACCTGGAGCTGCTGGAGAGAGTCCAGGGGATGCCACGGAGCTGCTGCTCTGCTCTGCAGCAAGGCTAGGAGAGGTGGGGGTGCTCACCTGGAAAAGAGAAGGCTCCAGGGAGAGCTGAGAGCCACTTCCAGTGCCTAAAGGGGCTCCAGGAGAGCTGGAGAGGGACTGGGGACAAGGGATGGAGGCACAGGACACAGGGAATGGCTTCAGAGTGACAGAGGGGAAATTTAAAATGGATGTTGAGAAGGAATTGTTCCCTGGGAGGGTGGGCAGGCCCTGGCACAGGGTGCCCAGAGAAGCTGTGGCTGTCCCTGGATCCCTGGAAGTGCCCA